TTCTTAGGTTAATAATTGGGTAAAGAAAAACACAAGTCTTTGTTCCCAGAAGAATGCCTTTTCTTTACTTTAATAGAGATAAAAAGGCTTACTATACATCAGAAAAATACTTTGCCAGGGACAGAACATGGGAAGCATCCCACTATCAATGGACCAAAAATCTGGCAGCTGTTTCAGTGAGTGATCAAGAGTAAAGGAAAGAGGGAGAAACGGAGTGTATTTAGCTGCGTTAGAATACAGGGAGTGGCTGAGACCTAACAAACTCACAACCAACTCCCAGAATAGAACACTTTCCAGCACATTTTATACCTATATCTATAACATAAATTTAGCTAGTTCAGCATCACTCCTATGCTCACGATTTTCCCACAATTGTTCTGTGCACCTTTTCCTTTCACATGACATTTGTGACCCTGTCTTGTTCTTCAGGCAACATTGAATCTGTAAAGTCAGACTTCTGATATACATTGATAGATTAAGGGAAGCTACAACGATTTTCTTTAAGCTAAACATCTGTGAGTAACTATTATGTTAACGATAACATTACTGCAATTTTACCAATTTAATCTGTTATATTGTGTCTTGTGAGCAAACATTCTCATCTTTTAAGATTTCTTGCCTGGGACTGTCCATTGTATTCTTGTGACCATTGTCTAAAACAAGTGGCTTAAATCTCCTTTTCTAAGCAAACAGGCTTATTTATGACCTTATTTGTTATAGTAATTACATTAGTTACAGAAGCTACAAGCACCAGTTAACCTTTAAAATACCAGAAAGAATAAAGTAAAGCAAAAATCGGGGTTAATTTTTTTTTCTGTTATATTTTTAGGCATGACTCTCCCAGGCCTTTTGGAAAGAATTTTAGAATAAGAAAAAGTATTCAGAATTCTGTCCTCAACTCTCGAGATTTAAGAAATTATTTTAGAGGGATTAGGCTTTGGTATGATCACACATTAAGATGAAAGGAAATCATTCAGCACTTTCTTGACTCTCTCAGGAATCTTTAACAAATACTTCATTGTTTGTTTGTAGTATTTTTTTTTTTTTTTTTTTTTTTTTTTTTTTTTTTTTTTTTCTTGTAGAAGGCACAATCTTTCACCAGGAAGAGAGAGAAATCATCCCCCTGGAATAATTGCCATGCTGCATTCCCTTCTCTTCCATTTTCCCCTTGGCATTTTGGGCATGGATGCACATGCATGTACGTGTTTTACATGCTGCTGAGTTCCAGACTGAAACTGTGCAGTTGGCCTTGTGGGATCCAGCCACCTTAATCTCTGTGCCACCTACTGTCCTAGAATTATTTTTCTTTAGTTTTATTGCCATAGGATGCATGCACTTACTGGAGAGATACACAGAGAAAAACAGTGAGAGGGAAAGTGAGAAGTCATGGCCATGCTGCAATCCCTTCTCTTCTATTCTCCTCCTGGGGTTTTGGACACATACACACAGGTGTCCAGTGTGATTTTCATGCCACCATGTGTGGGACTCAAACTGTGGTTGACCATGAAGAAGTTCAGCTTCTTAAACGCCATGCCATCTGCTGGCCCCATCCAGACTTTTAACAAAGGATTTTACAGATATGTCCTTGATTTCATCTTTGTTCTCTGTTTTCTAATTTTGCATTAGAAAATTATTGGTTGGAGATATTGGTAATGAGAAATGGTTTTCTTTTTCATTCTACTGTGCTGTGTGAGTATATGAGTGAACTAAACTAATGGCATCTATACTCCCCTCTACTGTCTCACTGTGTCCTGAAGTCATTCAGTACTAGTCCTGAGCAGCTCTGCTTATGTTAAATTCTTTCCTGGCTCTGTCACTCATACCGTCTAACTCAGATAAAAGCTCCAACCATCAACCTTAATAATAGAAAGGCTTCATGATCTTTGATCTTTAAGACTTTGAGACTTCCTTGTCTTTAATAATAGGGAGCCTACTGGATCTTTGATCCTTTAGCCCTAGAGCATTCCT